GTCCAGTGCTCACAGCAGAACCACAATCTGCTCTTGTCTGTTGAAGTGAATCTGGACGCTAAATCAAGCCTTTTCAAATGCTGCATGGAAAATCTGAGCCACACGTGAGAGCTACTTCATATTCCAGCGGCCGTCCTGCCGTTCATTTTTCCAGCAATCAGGCTCACGAACACTGAAGCCCAAGTGGAAATCATCAGCTTCAGATCTTCCTTCTGCAATCAATAAACCAAAATAAATACATGCAGGAATGACATACAAATAAAGAGAGAAATCTCCAAAGCAAAGATTTAAAGATCAATCCTGGGCGTTTCAATTTCCAGGAGTTTAATACGTGACCTTATTTAACTGCTTGTCCATCACACTAAAGTTTCTGTGACTGTAAGTGCATGAATATTTAAAGAGTCAAGCGTTGTCTAGTTTATGATTGGTTGTTTGTTGCTTTTTTGTGAAACCCTGCAATTTGGGTTAAAAGAAGTGCTAGAAATTCAAATGTGAAACTTCACTTAACGCAGTATTAAAATGGTCTTAACTTGAGGTTAAATATATAGTGTGAAATCCCTTAAAACTATAAGCTGCAGAAACGGCTTGTACAGAATTGATTTAGCATCTTAGCAATGGCATTATAATTTATTTTGCATGCAATAAAAAGCCCTTAGTTTAAATCAATAATTATATACACAATCTATTTTTAAGTATTTATTATAAAAATGTATACAATTAATGATTTGATATTTTATTCTATTTTTATGTGCATTTAACAGACACTTTTATCCTTATTTATTTATGTATTTATTTTAAAACTGTATTTTTTTTTTTTTCAAATCCAACACTGGTCCCATGATTATTATACCTTTTAGGCTAAAGGTATTCCATTATTTTTTATTATTTATTTGTTTATAGTTTTTTCTGTCAAAAACAGAACTATGACATGCTTAGACAATAAAATTTGCATCCTGATGAAAACGAATCCCTTTATTTAATTAAATGGTTTTTACATAATGTTATTAATATATTTATTGTAAATATTTTGTTTTGTTATTTTTGTATGCATTTGACAGCCAATTTTACCTAAAGCAACTTGAATTCAAGGATTTTATTTTATTTTATTTTATTTTATTTTATTTTATTTTATTTTATTTTATTTATTTTATGGAATGGAATGGAATGGAATGGAATGGATATCCTAGGCATCAAACCTACGACCTTGGTGTTCAAGTGTTTGGTGTACATAAAATAACTTATTATTATTATTTTATTTACTTATAGAAGTTGTTGCTGTCAGAAACAGGACTACGGCAGCAACAACTTACACAATCAACTTTGCATCCTGACCAGGATAAACTCAGACAAACTAGAATAACTTTAAGGCAGACGTTTTTCTCTGATTTCCAGAGGTGGGACCAAGTCATTGTTTTGCAAGTCACAAGTAGGTCTCAAGTCTTTGCATTCAATTTAGGGATTGTGCCAAAATAGGATAAGCAGTAAACTATTTGAGACCATTTTATGCCACTGAATATATAATCATAATGTCATAATCATAAAAATCATAATACAAGAAGGCCTACACACTTCCAAATGACAACAAACTTTTTTTGTAGAATAAGCATTTTTTTACATTTGAACTAGCTCCTCATGACTACACCACGTTACGTACGAGAAGCTGCAAAACACACAGGCGCAAGTGGAATGTACTAAACACAGTGACATTAATTTTTAAGTAAATCTAATGGGCGATATATTGCGTCACCAAAAATTATTGAGGTCATGTACATATATTGTGCGATAAGTCGATATATTGATTATTGCGACAGGCCTATTCATGTCAGGTGGTGGTTGAAGTGATTCACTCATAATTACCGCAGGCATAAAACAAAAGAATATCATTAGCAAAAATTGAATTGGTTTGAATGGCTTTACTGCAGAGCAATTACTATACTACGCAATGAAATATAAATGTCACTGTCATTTGATGCTGGATGTGGTGAATAAGCTACCAGTGATCAAAATATTGAATATGAAGTCACTGAAAACGATAGTTTTGAGAGTATAGCTGAAATCGTGAATATGAGGCAGATGCTGAATGTACTGTGGAAGTGCGCTCTGACGATGACAGAGATGGTAAAATAATCTGCTCAAATGGAACCCTTTTAAGTTTAAAAAAAGTAACGAAATATGCTTTATTTTATTCTTCTGTAATTGTTCTTAAAATATCAAGATAATGTTTTTGCTATTGCAGCAGTTAGAGGTCCATCCGTCCTGGATATATTGGTCCGGGTCGCTAAAGACCTGAATATGTAATAATGATTGGCGAAACATTCATGCATTTAAGGGTTAATGGAGGTTTAAATTTAAAAAAAAATGTATGCAATTAATGCAATTAAAATATGTAACTGATCGAACAAAAACTGTGGAGATCTGACAAAAACAGGTCTCAGAGAGGTGTTTATTACAAATAAAACTGAAAATGAAAGCACATGGAGTTGGCAGAGTGCGAGGGTCGTGACGGGATGCGGATCCTTCACTCATGGTGCACCTCGGTGTCGGACAAACAAAAGAAGTGAGGAATATTTAACAGCAGCGGTCACAGTGATGATGAGGCCAGCACCAGTGACTCTCATGCCCGCGCCGTGTGTCTGCTGGGCGGAGATCGCTACTAGACGAATCATGTAATCATGTAATTTGTTATTTATTTATTTTTATCTCTGTTCTTTTGTCGTAAGTTATGCTATTACTCCATTAATTTATACTAGCCTATATCCAGCGCTCCCTAAACGCAGTCTCTGGCTTGTTGCCAGTCAAGTGCAAGCACGCTGCAAGGACGCGTCTATAACGACTTTGATCTGATCATAAAGTCTTTCTGAGTCACAGGGCTCAAGTCCAAGTCAAGTCTCGAGTCATTGCTGTCAAAGTCTAAGTCGAGTCTCGAGTCTTCTTTAATTATGTCGAGTCGAGTTGCAAGTCATCAAATTTGGGACTCGAGTCCGAGTCGAGTCTCGAGTCAAGTGACTCGAGTCCACACCCCTGCTGATTTCTCAGATGTTGCCTGTCTGACATCTCATGAGTGTGAGCTGAAGATATTCTTTTCCATTCCAGTTGCTTGAATAAACTTTCGGAGACCCTTACACAACACGATATAAATCTGATTGTGCTGAAAATACACTCGGTCCCTCAGTGACTGACACACATGCCAGAAGAGCACAACGCTCCGCTTTCATTCACTTTGCACTGATAACATTCAGATTGTTGCCATAGTTGCACACACTTGCACACACACACACACACACACACACACACACACACACACACACAGACACACACAGACAGCAGGAGGTCTTATGTAACGTGATGATGTGTAAGAACGCCTCCTATTAGTGAGGAACTGACACAGTAATGACTTTAGCAGAGGCTTTTCAACAGCATCGATGGTCAGTCGAGTAAAACTCCTCCTCTCTTACACAGTTTGTCTGGAATGGACAGATGTTTTCTTCTGGGAACAGAGTTCTCACACACACACACACACACAGTAGTGCAGATTGCATTATTGGTTTAATTGATTGGTGTGTTCATGGGAAAGACTGATGCTGATTGATCTATTATCTTGATTTTGTTTGTACTTTGCATCATGGGTGATGAAAGAAGAACTTGAGTCTAAGAAAAAAATGTGGGTTTAATAATTATTTCTTTATAGAATACATATGTAATAATATATGCACTGTTCAGAAGTTTGGTAAATAATGTTTCTGAAAGAAATTAATACTTTTATTCAGTAAGGATGCATTAAATTGATCAAAAGTGACAGTAAAGACATTCATATTGTTACAAAAGAAATCAATGCTGTTCTTTTGAACATTCTATTCATCAAAGAATCCTTAAAAAAAGTCACAGTTTCCACAAAAATATGAAGCAGCACAACTGTTTTCATCAACATGAATTATTATAAAAGATTTCAGAGCACAAATCAGCATATTAGAATGATTTCTGAAGGATCGTGTGACACTGAAGACTGGAGTAATGATGCTGAAAATTCCATTTTAATATATATTCAAAAACAGTTATTTTAAATTGTAATATTACTTGAGAATATTACTGATTTTACTGTATTTTGATTGAATAAACACAGCTTTGATGAGTATAAAAGACAAAAACGTTTTTACTTGTTTGGGGTTGCGATATATGGTTCTTTTTAGATTAAATATGTTCTTGATATTTTCTTTGTGGTTCTTCAGATTAGAAAATTGCTTTCTGGTTCCTTAAATAAGCAGGAAATAGTAGAAATAATATTGCAAATGAAAAAAGGACAGTGGGTAATGTCGACTTTCGGTGCTTGGTTTACCCAAAAATGCAATTACTGTCATCATTTATTCATGTTTTCCAAAATGTCTATGGCTTTCTTTCTTTCTACACCAATGTACAGTAATTTACATTGTCATTATATAGGGCCTTTCGCACCGCTTTAGTTCCAGAACTAAATGTACAGTACTAAAGTACTGGGACGATTTTGCACGAACTATTTCCCAGTACCAATTAAAGGGTTGTATTCGCACCGACAGTGTGTACTAAGAAGTGACGTAAGCCGGTCGACAGCGTCGTCATTTGTGTGCGGCGTTCAACAACAAACAAAGAAGAACAACGGTTCCCGCGGTGCGAAAGGCCCTATTGTGTGCCATATTTGAGAGCTACGGCAGAGGGGAAGATTTCAAGTCTGTTCCTCGCAAAAAAATCCATTGAATGATGCTTGTAATATTGTACACAGTCACAAGCTACTTGTATAATACTTTCTGTGGAGCTTCAGTCTCCATTCACTTTTACTGTATGGAAAAGAGCAGCATGAACATTCGGCTAAACATCTCCTTTTGTGTTCCACAGAAGAAAGTCAGTCATACGGGTTTAAAACGGCTAACTTCTTCTCAGTCTTCCGTCATGAACAGCTTTCTGCAGCGGTTATCTCGAGTCTGAGTGTGTGTGAATCTCTAAGCGTCTCTTTCTGGCTTCTGTTGCAGAGATCTGTCCAGAAACCACATTCCCTCAGTGGATTCCAGCCTCTTTGATCACCTCACCGCCCTCAAGGAGCTGTAAGTGCCACGTCTCTTGAGCGTGTGTGTGTGTGTGTGTGTGTGTGTGTGTGTGTGTGTGTGTGTGTGTGTGTGTTGGAGACGCAGTCATTCATGTACGTCTGTAATGGGTGGTCTGGTGTAAACGTGAGTGTGTTTCTTTGTGCTAAAGCAAAAGCCTACTCGTTTCCTAATCTGCAACTTCCTGTTCACTTTTTCCCCCTCAGCTATCAGGTATAGATTAATTATATTTTCCACAATAAAAATAAAGCCTCCTTTTAGAATCTTGAAATTATTTTCTGCCCATTTTCTCTCCAGATTATCATTACTGGAATGCAGTTAAATACTACCATAGTTACAGTTATGATTTGCTATTTAAATAATGTATCATGACATCTTTTAGTGCAGTAGACTATTTTATTTTAATATGAGTAATATGAAATAATATATAATGACATCTTTTATTACAGTAGGCTATTTGATTTTAATTAGTTTAATAGCTGGAAAATATTTAAATTAAGTTTATCTAAGTTTGATTATATAAAAATAATCTTAATTAAACGCTAAAAGACAAAATCTATATGTGAAATACATTCTGTATTACTACTAATAAAATATTTTATTATGAGTAACTGAATAAAAAATAATATTTAATAATGTATTATGACATCTATTATATCAGTAGAAGTTTTATTTTAATGGCTTTAAAGATTTTTTTTTTAATTGTTATATTTAAATTAAGTTGTCAAGTTATCAATCAAGTTGTTTTTATTATTTATGTATTATTATTAATAAAGTATTTTATTTTATTATGAACAGCTGAATAAATGAAACAATATCAAATAATATTTTGTGACATCTTTCATTGCAGTAGACATTTTTATTCTCATGACTGGAAAATATGTATTATAGTAGGATAAATTATAGTTATAATAAAATAAACAATTAAAATGCTAAAAAAATGTTAAATTATTATTATCATTATTGTTGTTGTATTTGTTGTTATTATTTTCTTTATGAGTTCTTATATATATATATATATACACAAACACACATTCAGTATATATTTTGAAAATATTTACATGTATATACACTCAGGTCTTTCAGTTCAAGCAGCCTCCTGTTTGCTCTTCTCCTCAGGTATCTTCAGAGCAATCGTCTGGTCACTCTTCCTCGTGGGATCTTCGACTGTGGGCCGTTAGCTGTGCTGTAAGTGTGCGTGTGGGCGGCAGTATGGTCTAGTTCCCAGACGGTTTTTGAGCTCATATGGTGAGAATGTGTAGGCGGATCTTTCTGGAGTCTCTCCCGAACCGCAGAGTCAAACGCTGAAGAAACCGAACACGAATCAACCGGACACACTCCACTCTTTCAGCTCAAACAAAAGCAAACTAAATAGAAAGTGAAACAAGTCATGTATCCAGACATTTTTCTTTGTTGTGTGAACCGTAACACACATGCACCTCGACTACAGCGTTTCTAACACACACACACACACACACACACACACACACACA